AACTGGAAGAAAAAATTTAACTAGCATTGGTGTAAGACTGGTTCAGGATATAAAGAGGCCTCAAAAGCAACAGAAAATGGGGGCTGGTTAAATTTTGACCAGTGGCCCAAGTGTACGTGCTCGGGTTCCCCACATTAAATAACTGACCTTGTGATGCATCCCACACTAGTTGATGGGGGGATTTGGCATGGGTAAATACCATTGCCTGCTGTGGAAGGATTATCATCTCTCAGTTGCATCTCTATCTTCAGGTAGAGTACAACTCAGTTGTGGCAGACGGTTGCAGTTGAGGAAAATAATACTTTGAGGTTACCGTCCCTGGTGAACAGCTGCCTGAGGCTGCACCCTCTCATTGCACTAGAAGGGAGGATTGGTGTTCACCACCAAGGCCAGCGCAACTGACAGTTGCAAAGACTGGGAAATTTTGTACACTCAGGTTCCCCACATTTCGTCTCAGTGGGGAGACCAGGGTAAATAACATGCCTTCCGTGGTCAAGATGACGAGGGTCAAAGTGTAATATCTGTTCCAACAGTAGAATGTAGGCCATCAGCAACAGTTCCAGGTAGCCAGCTATCATCTCCAGTAGGCCTCCAGATCCTGCCACTGCAGCCATCTCCAGCTGCTCCAACTGGCATCCCATCTCAGTCATCCTCACCAGCAGAAACAATATATAATAAACTGTCCTTTTCAGGACAACACTCTCCAGTGACTACCAAGACTGTCCTTCTTAGAACAATGCTATTTCTCACCCTCTACATGAACATGTAGAGTTATCTTTTGTTCACACTTACAGTATTTTTGTTTATGTATTTTTCTTTAACAAAAATAAACTTGGCAATATATTTTTACTCAAGTCTTCATTTTGTTTGTTGTTGTCTTCTGTCATTTGATATTTATTTGCGGACCAATAAACCACCCACAACAAGGCTGGGGCTCTCATTTCCTTCTTGTTGTAATTCTGATAATGTTTGAAATGTTTCTGTATTGGAGTTCTCCCTAGGCATGTATGATTTTGTGATACTTCCTCTATCAGATTTAGATATTTAGTTGAGTCAGTGTTTGGAAGGGAGTTTCTTATACATGAGAAGAGGAAGTTTCTATTGATGTGATCATATGTTGATGTGAGGTTGGCATAGAAGGTATACAATTTTCTATTGGAGAGGTATGCAACTTCATGGAGTTGTCTGATGATATATTTGCCTCTGACCAGAACAAAAAACCAAACTGGGTTATAAGGAGTTGACATTCATAAAACAATGAATTCATTAATACTTTCACTGTGACACTATTTAGGTTGCTAGAAAGAAAGAAGAAAAAAAGAGAGAGGCGAGAATTAAATTTAGGTGATAAGAAGCCATCACGAAAAGGACACTAAGCGGTGTTATTTTTTTTTAACTGGGAAAAGTGATAAAAATTTTATTTTCATTAGCGAAGAAGGTAGGATCTGTCGCGTTTGATTTATGACATCGGACCGAATAAGATATGATTTCTGCCCATGGCAATGGTAAAAAAATTTCAGGTTGGACAAGTGACCTCCAGCAGAATTCTAAAGAGATAAAAATTAAATTGGGTCATGCGCTGACCGAAAGACAAAATGTCCATTGGACCACCCCGCAGAAAGAAAAAAAAGATTGACCCATTAGCTATCTACGGAGATTTTTGAAAAAAAGGCATCTGTTTTGTGTCAGGAGCTGGCTATGATAAAAAAATTATTTTATCAGGAATAATTAAACGCCAGAATGCGATCTCATCGGATGACCACCCACTTGATTTGGTGATGAATTCCAGGTGACATTTAGGATAAGAATTGCGATTAAGGGTTTGTTGTCTGAAAAAGAAAAGAAAGAAAAAAAAAAAAAAAAAAGGAAGATAAATTTTTTTCTTTGAGCAATTTTTTTTTTTAAGCCCAGTTAGCTGAATGCTGAGCGCCCATTGGCTGAATGGTGGCGTGAGCGTTGAAGGTAATCATGTGAAGAAGGAGGGAGGCCTGTTGGCCCCATTGAAGGGATCGGTATGAGATGCCACTGTGAGAGAGAGGGGAAACCGTTGACACCCTCTGAGGGTATGGTGAGATACCAATATGAGAACAGAAGGTGGGAGGACGAAAGACTTCCAAAAATGGAAAATAATAAATTTTTCTGACCGAAAACAAAGAAGTGGATTGTGGATTTAGAATTATCAAGGAACCTCAAACCCCGACAAGCCCACCCCGGTTTTGGTCGGCGTCCATATAAGCAGAGTCGCAACGAGTTGAGAGTTAGTTCCAGTTGAGTTTCAGTTAGGTTGAGTTGAGAGGCAGTTCACAGCTGAGTTGGATTGAGTTGGGCCCGCCTCGCAGAAGCTGACTAAGATTCACGCAATTCCGAACTCAACTTCTAACCAGGAACAATTTATTTTCTGAAGAACGACTTAGACTCACACCACCAAAACAAGTTTTACAAATATCACCTGAAGATACACCAAGAACCAGTTTCTTAAAGAACAAACAACTTAAGATGTTAAGACTTTCCTAACAAACATAAAGTGTCACGAATCCATATAGCGTGTTGGGAGAAAGACCAGATATAAAATATTGTTATCCTTTTTTAACACATTTGAACTTTTCGAGTTATTACTTTATTTTCTTTTACATATACTTGTGAGATATCACCCTTGTTCAGACTCAGCTTGCATTACGGCCCAGCGACTGATTGATTTTGTCTACCTAAGATCAAATCACAACGTGGGTAGGTTAGACTAGAAATCAAAACAGTTACTTCGGTAACCAGACGTTGGAGGCGAGCTGGGAACGACAAGGCTGATACCAAATCTAACCAGATTCCCATCTGAATCAGCAAAAGGTTAGAACGTCACATTTGGTGCCGCGACCAATACCAAGTCACATTGGTCGTCACAAGACAGGATAGGACGGCGCAGAGACAGATGGGGTGACATCACAATTGAAGGGTGCGACCAGGACAGCATGACGGGCGCGGCCAGGCAGACATCACATTTGGCGCAGCGACACCGGGGGACGTCACACACCATAATGTATCCAACCAAGATACCACTGTATATGTTTGGATCTTGAGGACTACATTTTGGTTTTCACCATGCATTAATGCATAAAAAATTCACTTTTTTCGGATGCATTTCTGATTCAAGATTTGCATCATGAAATTGAGAAACTTATTAAATTTAGGGAGAAAGTAAGCTATTTCCAAAAGTTTAGCCTCAATAGCAAGTGATGCTTTATTATTCCTTAGGTTTTTTATAACTTTCTTAACATCCTCATCAATAATGTTCATTGTTTGTTTGGAGACTGCTTTTGTAATGATTGGAACTATTATTGGTATGTGATCTATTTCTGTGGGCATCTTTAGGGTGATCGGGGTTGAAATGTGACAAAATGTTTTTGAGATCAGGTCATTTCTTGTGCATTGGTTTTGATTGAATGTTATTATGATTTTTGCTTTTCTCCACATTTCAACAAATTGTTTATGCTGCTTGACTTTATTAATTTGATTTCCAATTTTCCAGAAATATTAATTTCTCAGAGCATTAACTATTTATTTTCTTTCTTGTTTAGTAACCTCCCTTTTATTTTTTTTCCTGTTCTTTTTGTTTCTTTTTTGTGCCAATTTTTCAACTTAGGATTGTCATCCCACATGAGTATTTTTTTCCATCTAGGTACTTTTGAATGGTCTCATGTGCTTTGGCTAATGTATATATGACAACATTATTTGATTCTTCTGTTGTTTTGTTCAAGATTTAGGGAAATCAATTTGGATTCTACTTTATCACAGAATTCTAATCTTATTTTAAGGGCTTAAAGGTTTTTTATGGTTAACATAAGAAGAAGTGAGCTATTTTATTGGCTGGACTTGCCAGTTTAGTTAAAAGTAGTTTATCATCAGACTGAAAGTAGCAGTTGTATACTCTAACATCTGTCACAAATTGCCTTAGCCAAGAGTCTAAGATGCTGAAGTCAGTAATCTTTTTGTTACGTTATCTGGAATATAACAATAAAGATGACTTAAAACACAATCAAGTGGGTTTTAAATAACTTTATCTGTGTCTGAAGTGTTTTTATGATAAGCAGTAAAGTCAATACAGTAGAGTCTTTAAAGCAGCCACTCACTTGACTAAAAGGGAATAAAATAATAGATAAATAATTGAAAACTTTTGAGATCAAGTGGCATTTGATTGGAAGCTAGAAAGTTTTACTTGCAGACTTCTTTAGACAGAACTGAAAGTGTTGGTGGATACAGAGTGTCTGTAGAGGTAGTTCAAGTACAGTCTGTTGGAAGGGTACAGGCTTCCAATCAAAGAGTTCTGCTGCTGCCCATTAGAGTTGCTAACTGTAAATTGTGATGTAAAGATTGGCAGAGGGGTATTAGGTGAAACAGAATTCTTACAAGTTTGAAGAACAAAGTTGATTAGTAGTCTATAATGATAGAAGTAAGAAATGTTGTCCCAAATGTCACCTACCTACCCACCAAACCATGCAAGTGTATCCCTGAATAAAAATAAAAAAATGGAGACAGGATTCAAATCTGCATTTCAAACCATAGCTCCACATTCACTTTTTATTTCCCATACAAATGTACAGTGGGTCTTTCATAGTTTTTGTGCAAACAAGAATAGAGGTATTAGTCCTGCTGTTAAAAAGCTAAGAGAGGGACTCCTGTGATATGCTTGCAGTAAATTTCAGATTTTCATAATATTATGTAAAATTATACTAGGAACTTTAGCAACAACTTAATATATATGGATAGATGCACATAAAACCAGAAGTATCTTATGATTCTAAAATTGTGTGTATGGAAACTTTTTTGTTTTGTTTTTTTTATAGAAATATTCTGGTTTTCAAAACAATAATGCCATTTAAACTTTTTTCTGGAATATTATTTCAAATCATTGAATATTTGTTAACACCAAAAATATTTCTATCAATTTAAAATTATTTGTACCAACCATACACAGATAGATCAAAGAATAAATTAATATTTATATTTACCTGTAACGGAAAACTGTTAATTTGTAATTGATTATAACAAATAAAGCACCAATTAACCCTCCTGAAAAAAAGACAAACATAAAAATTTATAAAACAAGCAAGTAGAAATAGACAAGATGTGCTCAGTTATTCAAAAATACTCTTGATTGGTTGGCAAATTACAATTGTTTATGAAATAAAAATAAGCAAAATTAAAAATTAAATATCAATTTCACATGGCTTTTATTCAGCTTTTCTTGGCTTTTTTAAGTTATTGCAATCATATTAAGGTGCTTCTGTAAAATTATATATGATGGCATTTTCCAATGATTGGAAAAATAAAAACAACATTAGCAATATCAATTATTGCAATTAAGGATTTAAAGAACATGAAAGATCTGTATTTTTGGACAATAACGAATTTAGTGCAAAACTACATTAATGAAGTGCTTAATAATGAATAATTTCACTTGCAAGAGTAAAAGGTTAACTAGCACTGTTATGAATGCTCAAGATGGAAGGGATATACAAAATGAAAGTTTAATGTAGAGCTGTTTAAACTATTGTTGAAATAAAAAAAATGTGATACATTACTAAAGTTTTGTTAGACAAGCCATATATATAATTCAAATATATACAAGAAGAAATAATGGAAAGAAAAACTGAGTTAATGATGAAAGAAAGAATGGATAAGTATGCTAAAATGTCATGACACACCAATTTGGAAAGCTTATTTAATCTATCTGAAAATAATACAAATTTTCTTATCAAAAATATGAATTTTGCTCTAAAAGTAATGACTCATACTTTAATGTGAGCCTACTTACAGGCAGCAGGCTTGCAAATGGTGTCTGATATAAAAGTGCATACAAAGAAGAGGTGTATCATTGAATTCTTCCATGCAGAATAAATTACAGTCACTAATATTCATAAATGTCTGCTGAACATTTACAGATACGAAAACAATGCATGCAAGCATAGTTAGGCTGTGAGTAACTTCATCAATAGTGACATCAATGTTTTTGACAAGTCATGCACAGCTGTCGATGCACAAAATTAAGTGTTCTTTAAAATATATCACCATTGGTTGAGATTATGTAGAAAGATAATGTTTTGCTGCTGAAAAATGTTCTCTATTTAATAGCATTAATGTAGTTGTCATAATTTTTGTTGAAATAAGAGATATTTATTATATTTATATGTGGAGATATAAAAAGGTTTAAATTCATAAATAAAATTATTCCAATAGCTATTACAGACCTCTCGCCTGTGGAACTCTCTTCCCTATTCCAGTTTCCAAGAAAGAGCTATAATCTCCAGCTATTCAAATGTAATGTCAATCGACATCTCCAGTTGCCTTGATCTATCCACTACCCTTCTCCTCATCCTTTCTTCTATCACTCCTATCTGATCTTGCTCCAAATTTTCTGTAACCCCTTGCGTCCTAGTGGCTTAAAATATTATTTTTGGGGTGAAACACTAGGAACAAAAAAAAAAAAAAAAAAAAAAAAGAATGCACAGACTGAAAGAAAAAATGGCAAAATATACCATACTAACTAGGACTTTGACAATCTGAACTGATTGGGGGTGGTTTGTACACCATAAGCTTGAAATTCTGACAGTATTGAATTATCTTTGTTTAAATTTTAATATAAAAAATATAGAGACGGTATGGTTGCAAGAATAGAAGATTGAAGACATCTTGTCACTTCCAGATTTCTTAGTAAGATATGATAATGGGTAATGGTCAACCTGTTAACATCCATTGTCTCAATCACCCTGTCCCTCTTATTTAATCCAAGAAACAATGCTATTATTACTGTTCCCCATGAAATAAAGCAAGTAAAAAGAAATTTAAAGATTATTGTACATTCAGTCTGTGGTACAGTGTTGGAGCCTGAAGGTCACAAGAAATCAAAGATGATACAAAATGCAAAGTAATAGACTAACTCTTTTAATTTAGTATTTAATTTCAGAGATGAGTAATTGTTAATATACTTGTGGTTGATATGCATCCACTGATTGACTGATATAGGATATATGTTGATTGAGATATTTTGTCACTTATTGTTTGTTCCTGTTGAATTGGTGCTTCACTAACTGAACCAAAGATTGAACTCATGACCTCTAGATGACAGTAAAACATGTATAATCAACTCCTATATCCACTACACCACGTGGATACATGGTTTTGTTTACATTTTTTTTGTTTTTTGTTTTTTTTTTTGAGCTTTCTATATCCAATGTCAGATGGTTTTTGATATTTGGTTATGATGACAAGTTTGTACTGCTTTTCATAATATAATATTTTATTTCAGATAGGAGAGTACTTCATCAAGACGAGTCTATAATAAAATCTAGATCAAACAAGATGAGAACAATAGTTTGAAATAATACAAATATATGGACATTAACTCTTCTTTAATACTCTTAGTATTAAGCTTAACTATTTTACCAATTTTTAATTAATCTAAATTATTGTTCTGATTTGAATGTATGCACAGATCAAAAAGGAGAATAAATAATGCAATATTAAACTATTTATATTTTATTTATTAAAAGGGAGTTTGCCACAATGCCATGGACTGGACTGCACCTCTTTGCTTGACATTTTATCCTTCATAGTCAATAGGAATGACTTGGCAGTAATTTTCCCCTCAAAATATCAATATTATAAATATATGAATTAGTTTAACTTGTATCAAGGACAATCGCTGACCTGTCTTTCATAATGACTGAGTATATAACAGTGTACAGGGAGATTTAGATTCATGCATTTCCCAAGGCATAAATCTAACTTGTTCAGTGCAAAAGTGATATAAATGGTACTAAATACAAGTTGAGCAGTGCACTGATTAAATTTCACAGCTATTAATAATTCTGCCACTCTACAATTCCCCAAAGCATTCACATCCATGAAATAATTTACAGACTTGTATTTTTTGTATTAAGTTTTTAGATCTATGGATACAGAAAATGTTAATTAGAAACAAAGAAAAAAGTACTGAACAGTTATGCAGCATCAATCTTTTTATAAGGCAGGGAATGCTGGACAGTTTCCTCAGAGGTGAAGAGGAGATTTGAGGCAACAGAGATGTGGTTCTATAGAAGAATACTGAGAACACTATGGTTGGGACATGTGAGCAATGAGGAAGGCTTAAGAAAAATTGAAACAAAAAGAACATTTATACTTCATATCAGGAGACAGTATTAATTTCTTAGACATGAAGAAGGAGGACATAATGAATGCAAGTGAGGCAGAAGAAAACAGAGATAGTCTACCAAAGATGATGGATCAAAGGGACTGGGAGGGATAGTAAAGAGACAAACATTACTTAGAGCTATGAAGGATCAGAAGTCATACAGATTCATAATCACCCACATCCTGGAGGAGCACAGCACATAAAAGAAGAAAGACCAAGCAGATAATTACATAATTATGAGTGGTAACTTTCCCAGAACACAAAAGTTCAGAGATAAAGTATAGAAATTTCTCAAATAATTCTTTTACTTTTTCTATGTTTCTTTCTTTTAGGTAATTAATTTTTTCTACTTGGAAATCATGTTGACCTTTCCAAATTCTGCAAAGCAAAATTTCTTCTCTACTGGAATTTTCAAAAAGAACTGAATCTAAATAATGACTAAAGACTGTTTATAACAGTTCATAAAATACTAATTTCACTAAATACATGATTAGCACTTGCTAAAGTTGAATGTGGGAGTTAGCAGATGTTTGTTACTGCTACCTGGGCAGTTAAGGAGAGCATGGCTTGCTAATTCATCTACATTCTTCTCTAAAACCATTTTGGTATGCAAACAATGAGAGATTCTGTTATGATATCTGGCAATATAACAGAATGCAGAAAGAAAAATGGTTTACAGGTCTTTTCCAAGAGTATTAGCATCAGGCAAATAGAAACCAGCTCCAGCTAGAATATGAACAATTTTGATTTCCTTGAAGATAACTATCATTCCAACTGAAACCACCACTGAGGAAAACTAAAGAGATTATATATGAACTCTCCAGTCATTTCCATAGTATGAGATTTAAAAACCATGCCCTGCACTTGATGCTCTACCTGTGTTTAAGCCTTCAATGACATTTAAGACCAGCTTGAGACCCACATAATATTTCACATAAAGTACAAGGAACAGCACCCCTTCTGATGTCTGTGGAAATATTAGAGCAGTAATTGTAATACATAGATGTTCAATGTATGACCTTTCAAAAGTTGTAATAGCTTTATGCATATACTCCTCCATTTGACACAATCAGAAATCACTTCTTCAAAGGAATGTCAGTAAAATTTAGGCTTTGCTAAAGTTTATCCATATACCTCAACAGTGGCTCGCCCACTTTCCAAGGATCATCCTGCAGTTGGCTGTTCCTAAGGATTCTCAGTGTTTTTTCATCATTTATGCACACAAGCAGCCCAGCAAAGTTGCAGTTGCATTAGAAATGCTTCTGTGCTTCCAATTTTACACTTTGAAAAACAATTAATATTAGATATTTGTTTTCTGGATAATAGCCACTGACTGTATGAAGACACTGTTTATGGAAAATATAAGGTTGAGAGTTCAGGATCCAGAGCCATAAAGAAGTTATAATTACTACAGCTTCTTAAGGAAATTTCTCTGATGTTTCACAGTGATGGTAGAGATTTCCAAGACAGTATGTAGCCTTGGAGATGTGATAACAAATTCTCATCAAGAAAGGCTGCAGTTATATGAGAAAATTACTCTAACAACTAATTTCTCCTGTTTCTTTTGAACTAGTTCGATCAGGCATGATCTCATTGAAGGAAGATCAAAATTTCATGCTACATTCAACTCACATGCACACTATTTGACAAAACTTTGAGAAGTTCCTCCCCATGTGTGTTTTATGTATTTTATTAATATTAGCTTAATCTGGCAGGATACAAATATCAGATTTCCCACACTTGTCTGCCAAAGAAATTCTGTTAATGGGATGGCATTGCTAAAAGCAGTATATAAGAAAATGATCCCAAAAGTATCTATTTATTTTTCTTTTTTAGCCACAGGATACCTTAAAGATAAGATGTATCTTGTTCTCCTTTGGGTGGGCGGACTTTTCAGTCCCCAGTGAATCTAATGTCTCATTGAACACAACACAGAAAGTACACAGCATACAAATTCTTTAAAGCTTACTAGATTATACATAGGCATATCTAATAACTCTACCAAACCAACAAAGAACACTTCTCTAAATATAAGTCTTACATAATCTTTCAAAGAAACTTTACTCACATGTACATATTAGAAAGACACCTCTACATACACTTTCAGTCAACTGTTTCATATATTTTCTATTTAGGTTGCTTGAATATGTTCACTATTGAATAATATTAGTACACTAATTTTCTCACTAAATATATCCCTTTCTGTAAGGTTTACTCTATTGTTAATACTTACAACACAAGTACAGGGCACTCTGTGAGCACCGAGTTCACTACATAGCAGTAATTTTTTGTCAAACAAACTTACTATGATGAGACATTCAAAACTTCATACAAGTCCAAGCCCTTTCCCTAAATCTAACCAAATGATCAAACAGATTTTTTTAATTCTTTCTTGGCTAGCAACATTCAACACTTCTATGTATTCATTACAAATCACTAAAAATGTCAATAGAATAAAATTTACTTACCTATTACACCCATGAGGACAAAAATCGGAAATTCTATCAAGTCAAATGCCATATCCTCCTAAAAAAATAGAAATAAAAAAAGCAGTTAAATATCTAAGAAGCAAAGTGTTATACCCTTCTTAAGATATAGTGCAACTTAATACAATCATTCTTAACAAAGTGGGTAATGAAGAACATGTTGAACAGACACATTTCTATATCATTTCACATTAATGTGCATGTCTACCAGGGCTCTGTCCTTAAACCCACATTGTTATCTTCATCAATGACCTTCTCAACATCATCAGTTTCCAACCAGCTATTTATGCTGTTGACACAACTAGTTACTCCTAAGAGTAAGTCCAATAGTTCAGAAAAAGTAAAACTGGCAGCTGCTCTTGAAAAGGACCTCCAATCAGTTGTTAACTAGGGCAAGAAATATCTTGTAAATTTTAATGCTGCCAAAACAAAACTGTTATCCTTTTAATCATTATAGCAAACCATTTTTGTCCTCCATCAGCATGGCTGATGCTAACCTTCAGGAGAGCAAATCATTTCAATTTCTTTGTCCCACACTTTCTACTGACATGAAGTGGAGTGATTATATTGAATCAATTGTTAGGTGTGCTGCTAAGAAGGTTGTTTCACTGTGTCATGCCAGATAATTTTTCTCCAGAATCTATCTTGCACATTTATAAATCTACCATTCTTCCATGCAATAAATATTGCTGCGATAGCTGGTCAATGTGCTCTGGTTATATATGTTCAGATTTTCAAAAAAATCCAAAGAATGTAATGTTATCAATCCTGACCTGGCATCTCAACTTCAGTCACTTTTCCACTGCCATGATGTGGCTTCCCTCTGTCTTTTCTATAAATATTTTCATGAGCTCTTTTCTTGGGTACTTAGAGCATGTGAATTTAAGTGTACTATTAGATTGGAAACTAAGTCTCATCCTTTTACTGTTGGAATAGCTAGATGTAAGTTTTCTTACACTTCTCACCTCTGGAACTCTCTTCCAGTTTCCTTCTTCCCTACAATCTTCAAAAATTTAAATTCATTGTAAATTGCCATTTTCTGTTTTCCCGAATCCTGTTCATTTATTGTCCTTTCTCCTCACTAAAATCTTCTTGTTCTTTTAATCCCAGTAACTCTTTACGTCATTAATGCCTTGGTTGGGGTGAAATGATTAAAAAACAAAAAAAAAAAAAAAACCACTGTATATAATTCCATGGACACCTAACTGATCTTGTTAAGAATTGTATGTTATTTAATAATATATTCTTAACTATTACTACTACTACTACATTGAGCTTGTTTGGCATTCATAGGCACAGCCTTCAATTCTTCTCTGTTGATCATGATGACTGGCAGTTCAATATTACACTGTATTCTCTAGTATTTCTTTTACAAAAACCTTTGCTTCTTACCTCTACTATTTTTGCCAAGAGTTGGTTACTATAGTAGTAGATCAATGAAAAGTTCTTTATTGCATCAACAGTGTCCTACAGATTTTAATCTATGCTACTGCATGGTTTCAGAGATGAGAAGGATTTTTCTATAGTTTGACATATGTTGATGCCCTGAGATCTTAAAGGCAGATTAGAGTTTTCTAGTATAAGCACCAGTTAGTATTTTTTCTATTGGTGATGTCAGTCCAAGTGGTTGAGAATGGATTTAACAGAACACAAAATAGCCCAACTTAATTTAATGATATCTTACATTCTCTAAGTAAAGAACAGATTAAAGCTTTCAAGGATATTAAATATTTAGAGAGGTGCATAGCAATCTGTTATTCAGAATAGGCAAAGCCTGGGGTTCCCTTAACTAAACCATTTGAATGAAATTTTAAGGACTGGATTTGTCATCAATGACCATGAATTTGATCACAACCATCTGCGCTTCTGAAACATCACTCTCTATGGCTGAACAGGCCAATCCACAAATGGTAGTCTCTGTCATGCATGTGAAATAAATCACCTGTCACGATTTCTTTTTCTCCCAGACCAGATAGTAAATGACATTCCATTTTCTCTTCTTCTTTCATTCAAACTTTTACTAAATACAGTGTGCGATGGGTAAATTATCGCCATTTTATATTCTTAATTTTATGCATGCGCATTGTTTGATTTTGATTTTTTTAGCTGCACAGTATAGTAGGGTCAGTTGGCCACCGTCTGTGAGTAAAGATGCAATTCTCCCCACCAGAAATTTGAAAATCGGCATACTGTACTGCTTGGCATTCTCACTAAAGCTCCAGTACTAACATTTCAAAATTTTTGAGTGTCAATTTAGTGATGGCAACATTATACTCCCCATGCTACAACCACCTTGTTTATTATGTATTGGGTACAATTGAGCAAGAGACAAAAAAAACAATGAACTGAAGGCAAATATTATGGCAGCATTCACCAACTTAAACAAGGAGACCATCCAGAAGATTTGCAGGAGATTCCGAAGTTGTCTAGAGACCATGGCTGAAGCCAATGGTGATTTTATTGAATAAATTTACTCTTTAGTATTTTAAGATATTTTTGTGCAATTTTGGTAAATATATCTGTTAAAATGAGATGTCAGTATTATTTTCATTTTGGCATAATTTAGGCGACAATTTATCCATCGCATCCCGTTCCCACCATAAATCTATTTTTGGCCTTATGTAAAGATTGACTCCTGTTTGTGATATTGCTTGTCTCTTCCCATAGAATAGACAAATAATATCATAATCAAGAATTAACTAAATAGAATCAATTCATGTATCCTCCAACTTGGATAGTATGAGTGAATAAAGGTTTCAGTTTGAAATTCTTGGAAATTTGCCAATTAGACACCAATTGTTTCAGTAAAAGCTAAGAATTAAGAAAAACAGTGCATAATGGTAATTCCTTTTTCAGAAAAAATTGCATCTAGAAAAACTTACAGTGCATTAATTCTGCTGAATGCCAAGTACAAGAAATCCATAACAACAGCAATTAATTTCATAAAATTTTCATAGTCTTCATATCTCTCACACCTGATGCTAGTATTGACAAGTTGCGCAAAAATAAAATAATGTAACAATTTCTAACAATATTAAAAATTAGTTATTGGCATGATTTGCTTTCATAGGTGTACTTGCATCAGTTTGTGTGGTGTATATAGCATTAACATTGTGATCTTGCTTCTGGTGGAAGTACAGTTGGCGTGTCTGCAGTTTTATGTGATTTGATGATCTCATTTCAGTGGGATGGCAGCAGCAGTAAGTTTTTGATCTAATAAGTAAACATAGAGGAGAGGAGATTTTTTTCTCTTTTTTCATAAAATGATATTAAAGTAGCAGCCATTAAAAACTTGACAATGATGCAATGCAAAGAGAACCTGAAAACTTAGTTTTCACCAATGTAAATAAATGCACTCCCATCTAAATGTTCATTGCAGCAAAAAAATTAATAAGATTGTTATGTAAGGATACAAAAGGTAAACATATTCCTTTGCTTAAGGTGAAGTCACATGGGTCATGTGATGTCATTTCATAGTGATGAACATTGCCAGTCCGTCAGCCAGATTCCTGGAGTCAAAATGAGCAGTTACTTTTTTAGTATGAGCATAGGCTAAATCTGCCAAAGGATCAGTTCACAAGCCCATAGTACTGTTTTCCTTTGGAAATATATCTTCACCAGGTATAGAAGATATCTCTAGCTCACAGTCTTCATGCTGGGAAAAGCCCATGACTTACCATTTTCTGTTTGAGGAATATGTCCTTGCTAGTGACATAGAAGATAAATCCAGCCCACTCGAATCTCCATGGGGAATCCTAAATATAGCTTCTCCAGAAATACAGAAGAATCGTCCAGCAGCTCAAATTCTCATTTGAAATTATTATAAGTAGGACTCACTTTTTGTCTCCTTTTCACCCTAATTGTTGTTGTAGTAAACATGTGTTATTGTTTCTCTATGTGGGACACATGTGAATATGTGTATATAATTTTGTGTATGATTTAGGGGTATAAAACTCTCTCTGAAAATAAAGTATGTTTGTCATTTCTTTTCTTTCAGCTATTCTGTTCCATCCATGTATTTAGGTGTTATTATATCATGGATAGAGTAATGACCATAATGGAAGGAATACAGACTGGGAATATTCCTACCATACTTCACCTTACCTGGTGTGATGTGATATTATTACCCTATTAGTTGAGCATCAAAAAATGATTCAATTTTAATGATGCATTACAGCTTTTGAGAATGGCTAGACATCCTCATCTAAAAAGAAAACAAAAAAAAAAAAACAGAGCTCCTACTTACCTACATAAATATATCCCCTCACAGATTGTTACAACATGAATCAAATAAATATCCCAAGAGGATAGAACTCCAATAGAAAATGAAAGTCAGAATTTTCATCACATCACAACATTAGGAAACCAAACCCAAACTTAACTGCAGTATGATCAAGGAAGTCAAATGTTCTTAGGCAAAATGGTAATATTAGCCATTTCCATGTAAGGAAACATTCAATATTCATTGACTGAATTTGCCAGTTCTGTCTTCAGTTGAAATCTTTAAAATCTTTCTCTTAAAAGAAAAAAAAAGTAGTTTTCTCAAGTTCAGTAGTTATTGTTTCTTTCACTATTAATAGAGGCTTCTTTCCTTGCCTTTTGTTTGAAGTAGTGTGGAATGTCAGCATCTTGATTATGTCATTATTCTCACTTAGTTATGTGTGCTATTTTAGTTGTTGCTGCTATTGAAAGTCCTCAAGTGATATAGTTTCTGTTATCTGGTACAGTTCTTTGTTTGTGATCTGGTAGCAACAGTCTACAAAGTTTGAGAAAGGAGAGTCCTTGCAAAGACCTACAGAAAGACTTGTTTATTTTGTGGATTTAGAGGAATAGGAAAGGCCATGTTTATTGCATTTGCTTAGAAACTAATCAATCTTTGTTTACAAGGCAAGAACACAACACTTGAAATAGTTTGATGTAGAGTAACCATTTACTAACAGGGTGTAATTGGAAAGAAATACATTAAATTCTTACCAGAAATATTGTTTCCAAAGATCTAACAATCAGCATCCTTGTAAAACAAAATCACAACTGTTATTAATGGCAAGTGTTATCAAACAATGAACAGAATTTAATCTCTGTTTATGGACACAATTTTTTTACTCAGACATCTTAGAGAAAAAAAAATCACCTCTCTTAACAGAGAAGCCACTCAAAACCAAATAATATATGTATAAACATACACACAGACACAGGTATATAGTCTATACCAGGGTGTGCTGGAAAGTTTTCAGCCTAACCAAGAATTGTTTCCAAAAATATTCCTGATGTTATTTGATCAGATTTTGGGGGAATGAATCAGACTGAAAACTTTTCAGCACTCCTTTCTCTATAGAGTATAGTAGATTGCAAATCTCTACAGATTCAGATGTAAGTTAACATAATTTTAAGTTATTTATAATTTTTTTCTTAATTTGACAAAGTTTTGCATCAACTAGCACATTTTTCATATAACAGGTCCCTAAAATTAAAAATATTTAGTGCAAAACTATTTTTAGTACAGTTGTTTCAAACAGAGTGGTTGAAATAAAAAGGAGTGACTGAAATTTTTTAAAATAATTTTTAGTAATGAAAATCTTTGTCTTAGACTTAAGAAAAAGAAGTAAATGTTCTGAATTTAAAAAAAAAATGGGTTATTGAAATAAGGATTTCCTGAGTTGATTTTTCTTGCCCCAAAAATTAATCTCCCAAGCCTGTTTATTTGAAAGTCAAAGAACCATTTCTACAGAAAAATAGTATTGCAATGCTCCACACATCTTCCCTGCAATCACCTATTTTTGGTGAGACTATCTTAGTGGCATTATCACTGCCTGAGCAAGAGAAACTTTTTCTCATCAATAAGACAGTAATCTATCTTCCATGGGAAAACTGCTCCAGTTTTGCCAAATGTGATGGAAATCTTTAATATATCAATTTCAGCTTTTACCAAAGATTGCTGATAGATTTAAAAGTTAGGCTTTTATTTAAACATGAGGGAGCAATTTTTAAATGGATTTTATTTAATCTGACATTATCATTACTATAAACGTTATTTTTATTGGATACATGTTAACTTATTAACAATAAGGTTTATAGCAGTCCTGCACAAAATGAAGGTTGCATGAGAGCAGTGAGTCTACCCAGTGTGGTAGCCAATGAAGGCTTTTCAAAATAGTTAAATTCTGTGATTGATTGTGTACAAAAAATTCAGTTTTGTGCTACCAATATTTCTCTATCTTTGTATCTAATTAATCCTTTTAATTCACCATAGGAATAGAAAGAATTTTCTCACCATCCTTCTCTCTATATATCTGTTTCTATCTTGCTCATACACAATAATTTACTGTAAGAATTTACATTTGCAGCCAGTGTGGACCTTTATATTTTTAATTATGCAAGCCTGGTTTATAGTTGTCAAAGAAAAGAATACTGTAATATTAGTTATCCTATATGACAGTGAATGCTGGACAATCTCCTCCCAGATAAAGAAAAGACATGGAGCAACAGAAATATTGTTCTACAGAAGGAGGTTGAGAATACCATGGACTGAACATGTGAGCAATAACAAAGTTTTAGACAAAATGGAAATGAAAAGGATACTTAGAATCAGAAAGAGACAGCTGTAATATCTAGAGCACATAATGAGGAAAGAGGGCATAGAAAATTTGACAATCACAAGACTTACTGAAGGCAAGAGGGATATAGGAAAGCAGTATATAACCTACCGAACAAGCTTGTGCAAATGATTGGCAAAACAGGGATTAGGAGAGATAGCAAAAAGACAAAATTTACTAAAAGCTATAGAAAAGGATAGGAAATCATGGAGAGCCATAATCACACACATCCTAAAGTATAAAAAATCTTATATTTTAGTTGTGTAAAATAATTAAGATTTTAATTAAGAGGTGTAAATAAATAAATATTATAATTGTCTAGGTTTATCTTTTATATATACTTTTGAGAGAAAAAAAGAAAGCCAGACAGTTTGTAAAAAACTTACATTTGTCTTTGAAAATTTCTATTTTTAGAATAAGCTGTTAAAAAAACCACTAAAATGATTTCTCCTATGTGAATTATTGCTGATTCATTTTTTAAATTTCAAAAAAATATATATTTCATTTACTGACCAATCAGAGACATGATCTCATGTCCTCATAAATTTTGAAATTAGGACTTGTCTCTGGAGCTTCCTAAATCAATCAACAGGGAAGGAACCACCAAGACAAAAAGCTACTAAAATTTCAAACAAAAAGCAGATTAAGAACCATTACATTTCAGATATTTCCCCACCACCCCATCAAGACAATTTTTTTTAAAGAAACTAAAACCTTAATAGTGAACTTTTCTATAAAAACATATAACAAGTCCTCATTCTTTCCAAATTCACCCTAATATCTTTAGGTTGAGACATTCCTTTTCACTTTACAATTAGGTGGGGCCACATTTTACTATTTTTTACCTTCTCAAAGTTCTTTTCATTTTCAAAAATTGTAATCTTTCTTCTTAATTATCCAACCTTTTTTTTTAAGGCACATAAAAGGAAATTTTTGTGTCTTATTAAAATTATTTTGTAAAATATTGCATTTGTTTTTTTTTTTTGTTTTATTTTAATATGCACTGTAATAGATTTCTGTTTTAAATTTTTCCTATTGGTTTGAGTCTTATTTGTTTGCACCTTGCTTAACATTCTGCATAAGAGAGGTAATGTGCTCTCTTTTCCCATTCTATTCTAACAAAGTAAATTTTTTATAAAAAGAACATGGCATATAGAAGATAGTTACAACATTTATAGTAATATTATGAGGGAGTGCTGAAAAGTTCTCAGAATCACAATTTCAATGACCAAAAAAAAAATGTTTGTTTGCTTTTTTTTTTGAGTTAAAGAAATTGAGAAATTATGTATTAAACATATTGAACTGCAGAGTGAATATGTTGAATAAAATGTACTTTTCATGAGTTTAAATCAGTTTTTTGGTGAGGACAAGAACTTTTTTTTATTCTTAAGTAACTGCCTGTTTTGTATCGTTCTCTCATCAGAAGGTGTCATAGCACCCCAAATAGACTTCCCCTTGTTTTCTGTTTTTTTAACAAGACCTCCACCTCTAAAAATTGTTGGTACATGACTCTGTCTATTATTGCTTCTATAGGGATAAATTCTCCTTGGTCAAACCCAAAGAAACACTTACAAAAATCCCAGTTCGCACTCTGAGTTTGAGAATAATGACAGTGTTTGGTATATGATGGGCTGTCAATTTTCTGCTAGTATTTTAAATTTTTATGAAAGACATAAGCAGAGACTATGTAGTATAGTGCTCCCTCTTATTTCAACTGTTTTAACTGAACTCAAAGATCAGTCTATGATTCTGGCATTTCTCATAGCCACTTCTTTCATTGCACTTCCCAACAATACTATTTCTAATTTTTATAGACAGTTCCCTTATTTTAACACAAGCACCATTATATAATGGGTATAATTATCATATAAAAGAATCATGTGGCATTTGAAATAATTGGTCAGATTTGTTGTTAAAATACAAGAAATTAATTTACTCCCAAATTAAAACATTTAAGTAAATAGGAATAGACCAAAATTATGAAATAAAAGCAAATACAGGATTCATACAAGGTTTGCTTTTTTTTTATATAAAAATAATTTCTAAAAATAAATTCAGTATCAGGTCCAGATCTTTTTGCCTTTGTTGGGAATCTTTAGGCATAAATTATGCTATTCAATGTTAATGTAATTTTCTAAGTTTTCCTCTGTAGAATTTTGACTTATAGAAGCCTTTGTATGTAATAAATGTGTTGTGGATTTGAATCAACCCATAACAAACAAAAAGGCTGGAAAAATTTTTGAATATAAAAATACAAAATATTTTTATTTTTGTGTTTTTACAACTAAATTTTTCTCCACGTGTATGAATGTTAAAGTTCTTGTGCTAAAGTTTCTTGTTTGTATTGTTTAAGATAAAAAAAAAAAATAATGTGATTTCTTTATGTGTATATGTGGCAAAAAAAGAGGCACGGGAGAAAGTGAAGAGGAAAGTGTCACATGGCTTGGTGAGGAAGGCAGCTGAATGAGTAAGGGAATCTCTTTTATGCCATTTTGTGAACAGTTGCCATTCCTCACTGGCTTGTCTGGTCTATAAACTTTGCTTAAATACTCTTCAAAGGGATCCCAAAGCATGTTTTTTATTGTCAGTGGGAATGCAAACCATTGGCTGGAAAATGTTAAGTATTTATTTTCAAAGGAGTAATTTATTAACCAGAAGGATGTGTGAATCCTCTGACTCAGAAACTATTTTTTTGCCATTTGAAGATTCACTGTCTTGATGTTTATTTCCATCTTTGCTCTACAAATGATTGATATGAAATATCTGAAGAATTATGTAAAAATGGAATATGTGAAAGATAGATGTTGAAAGATTAAATTCTAGTATTAATGTTTTGTTAATTATGGTTTGTATAACAAATTTGTCATGGTAATGATCTTTCATAAAGAAATGTGGTTCAACAGGAGGATACTGAGAATAATATAAACTGAACATGTGAGCAACAACAAAGTTTTACAGATTATGGAAACAAAAAACTGTTCTAGTTTCATATGCCATGTCCTCAAAGACACATGGCACAGTGGATAAAGGTGTTGGTTAGATCCAGTGACAGGACCCAAAGAGTGTGAGTTCAATACCCGGTTAAGGCAGTGGAGAACTTGCAGAGGGGAATTAACAGGAGATAACTGATAACTGACATCCATTAAACATGGCACGTGGAACTAGAACAGTCTACCCCAGTAAGTGAAACAAAGAGTTCAGTACGACATTCCAACCACCTGAAGAAGGCCAGAGCATACAATGGCCAAAACGTTGTAATAAATATGGTGACAAAGATGAGGACAATAGTCTGAATAATGTAAATAAAAGAGATATTCGGTGACAAATTTTTGGGCAAAATGCATTAGATTGATATTTGGAAGACAATTTTTTCTTTTTTAATTAAATTAAACACTTTCAGTGAAAAGTGTGGTTAGCTTGCTTGAGCAAGTAAAGGAAAATAGTATTAGAGAAAGATATTTTGATGCATGTTAAATTATTACATAAGGAATAGAAAAAACAAGTGAAACATTACCAGAAAATGTTCTTAGTCAGTTTTGCTTTTGAAGATTTTTTTTCTTTAGTACCCTTACAACTTGCATTACATTGTGATATAAAAATACTTAGGAACATATCACAACATTAAAAAGAAATGCTTATTTCCTTTCTGGCAACACTTCTGTTTTTGGTTAATATGTACTATTGCTTTTTATAACATTTTTTTTTTCTCTGCTATAATAGTAATTTATTATTATTTATCAATTGTTATTACTTGTTTTGATACTATGTTAAAATGTTTCTACTTTGTACAATATTAAATATTTGTATATGCATTTATAACAGTGTATTGGTAACTGCTGCAAAACCATGTCATTTTCTGAACCTGGTGATTCTATGAGATTTGAACATGCAGTCTTTTGATCTAATATTATCCGAGAAATAAAATATTAATTTCTCTAAAACCAAACAATAGCCATTCTTATGTATTCATTTTTTATTATATCAGACTCAGTTGGATATTTAATGGCTTTTCCATTTCAGTAGTTTTCAAATAAGGCTGATTTTATATTAAATTTGAGATCAATATGTCAAAATAAATAGAACTCTTATAGCTTATTTCTAAAGCAACCTCAAAAATATAGGAATATATAAAATGATTTAATTTTAAAATAATGCAAAAATGTGAATGAAATCATAAAAAGATGAAACCAAAAGTTTCATTAATTTGCCTTTTGTTGAGTAACACAGTTGACTGCATTAATGCAACTTATAAAATATAACTGTGTAAATAACAAGTGTTAACATAAGTATAAAAGTAACTTATTAGTTTCTGTACATACATATTTACAGACATGCACAAAATCATAAAATAGTCATAAAGAAACGGTTTAATAAATATCTTTATCCATGTAAGTGTGTTACTAGGGTGTTCTCTCCTTGCCAATATATATATATATATATATATATATATACACACACTTTATTAATTGTAGCTATAGTTCGTTTCGGAATAATGAAACACCTTTCCAATAATGTTTAAAATTTAGAAAGTTTATAACTTTTAATGTACAGTTGTAAGCAATAAAATTGGCAATTGTTATGACAGAACTTCAAATTTTAAGGATTAAATATTTCTTCTGTATACCAACTGCAAAACAAAAACCTACAAGCCTCTAACTAGTCTAACTATTGTAGTACTATGTGTACTTTATTAACTATTGTTCTCATCTCTGTTGTTATTATCACAACATTTTGGCTATTGTGCTGGCTGGTCTTCAGGTGTTTTTCAATCCAGGTAACATTCCAGGAAATTCAAAGTGAATTTTAAATTCAAACTATTTAATCTGCTGGGGTAGATTATTCTCATTACATTGTCTCGGTCTAGGGATATCTTGTGTTGTCCCTATTTAGTACTCTGCTCATTCTGTTTCCACTGATTCTAAGTTTGCACTTCTTACAATTACTGTGACCAAATTCACAAACCAACACTTCTGTCCACTAGGTTATTGTCCCATGGGACAATCCTGATTGTAGAACTTGAAGCTTTTGACAGAACCTACCTACTGCAGACCCTGCTTGTCATGCATGACAAGTAGCAGTAAGTAGTCAAATGTAAATAGTAAAAATAATGATAACTCATCATACCAGAGATTTAAGATTTAAATAGAAATCATCTTTTGTTGTTTAATCAGGTTTCAGTTTATACAAGTTTAAATAATTCAGAAAATAACTACTTTATTTTCAAACTTGATAAAGCTTTCAATAATAATGTGGGCATGTATATGTCCTTTATGTCTATTTTATATATATATATATATATATATATATATAAAATAGACATAATAATATATATATATATATATATATATATATATATATATATATATATATATATATATCAGGTGCTGAAAAGTTCTTTACCCAACTCACTTTTTAAAATCTGACCCAATAAACAAGCACTAGAATTTATTTGGGACTCCTTTCTTGGTCAAATTGAAAACTTTTCATTAGTTCCTCTTGTATATGCCTGCCTGTCTATGTATATAAGTGTACATACACACACGCACATACGTGCTATAAAAGTCTTGGTTTCAGAGTGGAAAACTTGCAAAAGTACATGTTAATCAGATATCTTTTTCAGAAAGATAATATTCTGTATCAAATAGCACATTATATATCAAAAGCTGTGTGCAAGATTGAGTTTATTTTAAGAAGTTATTTCATTAAAAATGATATTTTAAAATTCTGTACCAACTTTCACTTCAGATCGGTAAATAGAAATAGGCCAAATTTACTCAGTGTTTTAATTTTGGTTTGCAAAATTATCCAAGTAAATAAATTTCTTGTATTTTAACAAATCTGACCAATTATTTCAAATGCCATATGATTCTATCCTCACTTGTATATGGTTATTATAGTCAGTTAATGGTGCTTGGGATAGAATAAGAGAACTATCTATAAAAATTAGAAATAGTAATTTTGGGAAGTGCAATGAAAGAAGTGACTATAAAGAATGTCAGAGCTTTAAGAATGAACTGAAAAATATTGGTATCATATCTCTTTCCATTTTAAGGATATTTTGTGAAATTAATCATACAAAAAACACAATACAAAACAAATAAAATGTAAGTATCAGCCTTTGAAACAGAGGTCATAATTGTGAAAAGGTGAAAATAGCACCTCACAACAAAAGAAATCACTGATTGAAGCATAACTTTGAATATATAATAATCAATTACCAGAGCTGATGATATAAGAGAACACCTTTCCTAAAATGTAAATACAAAAAGCTGAAAAACTGCTACACAGACATTCTCATTAAATCCTTAAGCTCACCCCTATACTTTTCCTTTTATAATTTCAAGACAATTCTGTATAACCAAACAGTCAATGAATGCCAAATGTTTCCTCATAAGGGAACATCTAATATTCTAGAATCACAAAGAAAATGATTAAATTTGTTTACCTGGAAGATATCAAACCGAACTAAACCAGGTGAGGATAGCTGGGTAAAATGTCCGATGGTTGCACTGAGGAATAGATTGGTAAAAAAGGTGGCTGTCATGGCAGCAAAAACCTATAATGATAACAAAAGTAATTAGCACATCAGAAAATTTTGTGTTCAGATTTCAAGCTCATTTTTAAAACATTTACTTTTATTTTTACATGTTTAGGAAGATTTTCTAGTCTCTAGTTAAAGTTTGAAAAAAAAAAGAAAATGAAAATGAAGTGTGTAATACTAACACTTTTGTCTTATTTTTAACTGGTGTAAATTTTATCTATACTTACTGTTTTTTCATACCAAACGTCACACAGGAAGTTTTAAAACAGTGATTACTACACAGGAAGCTAAACAGGAATTCTTAGATTAATGTCTAAAATTCCTGACGTTGGATTTATCCAAAAATAATTATAATGCTTTCAAAATTTTGGAATATTAAATTCTGTACAGATTGTGATTGATCTGTATTTTTTCTAATTGTTCCCTAGAATTATATACAAGTGTGGGCAGAATTATTCATCCCATTTCCATAATTACAAGTAAAGTTGTAATATTTCAGATTTTCATAGAAACTTCATGTTCTACTTTTCACAAATGATGAAATAATGGATTTCAAAGAATGTGCAGTGATGCCCACAACAAAATTTTTATTTAATACAAATAATAATACAAAAAAAACACCAACAAGCACTTAACAGGACAAAATTATTGGCCCTCTTGCCTCAGTAATTAATTGTCTAACCTTTATTCTTTATATTATTGCTTTTAATCATTTTTGACAGTTCCTTACAAAATCACTACACACACTGATAGGTATTTTCCTCTATTCTTCCTTGGCAATAGCTTCTTGTTCTTCCAAATTAAAAGGGTTGCTTTCTCTTATTTTTTACTTAAATATGCCCATAAATTTTCAATGGGGTTTAGGTCAGGACTTTTTGCTAGGTACACTAATACTTTAATTTTGTTATCATCTAAGTATTTTGTACCAATTCGTACTGTGTGTTTTGGGTCATTGTCATGTTGGAATATCCAGTGATGCCCCAAAGACAGCTTCTGTGGACTTTGTTAGAGAACCATTTTTGCCTTCTATCTACATGGATGATGCTAACCTCCAGAATAGTGACTCATTGTACCTTCTTGGATTAATGTTTATCTCTCTGGGTAATGCTACTATGATGATTATATAACCCAGTTTGGGACACTGCTGATGATTTGGTGAGAGTGTACTTGTTTCCCACAAAGTTTCAACCATTATAAA